GTGTGTGTTTTTTTCTTATTTTTTCATTTAATTATTTTATGTGATAAATAAAAAGTTACTTTTTTACCCTTTTCAAACTATTAAAAATGTTGTCAAAATTAAATTTTTGATCAACTGACAAAACTATGGATGAAAATTGTCCAAAAGTGCTTCATCTGCAACATTTAGAAATGTTTGGGACAGCTGCAATAAATCAAAGGCTTGAAGAAAGTATGCTAATATTTCAAAGGTTTGGAATTTTTGCTGCAATTATCCCTAAAATTTGAGTAATACCCTTTCGTGTGTTATGAGCAAGAATATTTTAATATTATTCACGTTTATGTCCTGAGTCAATAAATCCTTTAGTGAGCTTCCATTTTTCTTGCTATAACAGACTTTTCTATCAAGGATACCCACAAAAGATTAAATTAAGGCGAACTTCTTGAACATGTCTCACATTCTTGAGGATCGACTTACATGTAGTTTTAGTACTTGAGAAAATATCTCCCGCACCAACAATTTCTCATGAATAGAAAATCCAATCTAGAACTAACATGATATGCAACACTAGAATCAATCAACTAGTGAGAATTTTGACGTGAAGTTGATAATGTGAACACCATGAATAACACAAATATTGCCCTTGGGTGCATATACCATTGTATTCGTTCTTTCTTTATTGTGGTATCTATTTTTCCTAATCCGCTCCTTTTGCTTGGATGTCCCTTTCGACTTGTCTTGATTGTCACGACTCTGAGTTTTTGATTCAGTTCTTTCCTCATCACTCATTAACTAGTACAAAATTTCGTACTATTGGACGTCTCTTCGCCCTTCTATTTTCCTTTTAACATACTTTATTTCGCCATCTTCAAAGCGAAAACACCATCAAAAGCTAAATTACTGAGAGAGATGAAAATTCAGAGCATGTACCTCGTTATCAAACTTCATATCCATCACAACCTCCTGATTCAAAATTATTTAAGTACTCAGAAACCGGAGTCTGAGTCTCATCTATATGCCTCAAGTACACAAGTTTTTTAAAAAGAAAAGTTTTATTCTATGCATTTTTCTTTACGTATAACCACGACCATACAACACCAGATTTTCTTTTTTTTCAATCACTTAAAACTTTAAAAGAGTATCCACGTAATCGTGAATTATATCATGGTCATCGTGTTGTTCCCAGATTTTCCATAAAATTAACAAAATTTATCTTCAACAACCTATCTCTTATACCACTTATTGATAAAAGGGCTAATAATCTAAAACATGAAATTCTTGTAGTGGAATAAATAATGTTCTTTAAATAATGCTACATGTACATTATGGTGCACATAATGGTGTCCATAATGTATATGCGGCGCCCCTCTAGTAGGGGAAGTGCCTGTAGGCTAGGTGCTTCCCCCAATAGGAGGGCGCTACATGTACATTATGGATACCATTATGTGTACCATAGTGTACATGCAGTGAGATACCCCTACATCTAGGTGCCCAACTTTAATTAATTGTTTCACTGCGCAATAGTGAGATACAACGTTTTTCTCTAGTACTATACAGTGCCAAATTTAGGTGGACTCGGTCCCCTCTTAGTCATTAAAGTTTTATATGAGTAATATTTTTTTTTTTCAATATATTAGCTCGACCTAAGATTTTTTAGTCCGATCTTGAATTCGTCATTGATACTATATGATCTTAACCAACAATTGACACAATGTCTAATAACAATAACATTAAATTTTATAAGGGTCTGTTTGGCATGACTTTTGCATTTGCTTTTTATAGAAGAACTTTTGGATGAAATTGCCTTAATTTTTGTTTGAAAATTAATTTTGAAAAGAATTTTGTACTTTTAGAGGAAGTTAAAAACTCTGTTCATTAAAAGAAATACTTTCATGAAATTTTGAGTTTTTAAAACTCTTTTTAACTTTTCAAAAATTCTGTCAAAACATGCTCTACATTTAGATCTCATCAAGATAATGAAGGGTTTTTCTTCCTTCACCAATTTTCTTTCGAGTAATGCAATTCATTTTCACTGGGGATGAAAACACAGTATCCTTCATTCTATGAGGGCCACTCTAAATTGGTGAGCTGGGGACCCTTTTAACTATGAGTAATACTATTCATCCCCACTGGGGATGAAAACACAGTTTACGTGGCGTTAATGTGACATTAAATGATAGGTAAAATTAAATAAGTTATTTAATTTCACCATTTAACGTCACCTAAAATGTATTTTCATCCCCACCGAAGATAAATAATATTACTCTTTTCTTTTGTCTTTTTCTATGAATTTGACTGCTGCATTCAGCACCAAATTCACGCACACATACTCCCTGTACAAGTGAGTCAATAAATGTAGATGGGAGAATTGGAATATTAATTACCCTAATGGGCCATATCTCCATTCGAACATTATCTTCTTTTATTATTAAGAGCTTGTTTGGTAGGGATTTTTGGGGGAAGAATTGATTTTGATTAGTGATATGATGGGAAATGTGTGGTTGAAAAAGAAGAAAAAAGTATTGATGAGATGGAAATAATTATTTTATTGAAGAATGTGTGGTTGAAAATGAGAATTGATTTACTGTAGAAAANATTGATTTTTTTTTTTAAATACAAGTTAAACGTCTTTTTTTAAGACTCACGTTTAACGTATTTTTAACTATTTTCGATATCTGTTTGAACTATTCGATATGTCCATAATGTAGTTCTCGAAATAAGTTTTGAGATGATCTAAATAATTTGTAGATTCGATTAGCGTACGATCGTCGAAATTTTTTTAAATTAGCATGTTATCGAAATTCAAATTTATTGTGATTTTGCTCATATTTGGTGGAAGTTAAAATCAAATTTTTAGTAAATTTTGATAAAATTTTAAAAGTTATAGATTCCATGAAATATGTTATTAAAATTAATTGTTAATTTTGATTTAAATTAAAATTTAGATTTCAATCGATACCAAACACGATTTTATATATATAAAAAAAAATTCTCAAAAGTTGGGAGACACTTGCCCTCCCAGGACCCCCTAGGTCCGCCCATGAGTATACCCACATAATATTATAAAAATTCACCTTGAACATCAAGCCATCCAAGCATCTCTCGCCACGACGTCTTAATCACTATATTCGATCAAATTCTTTTCGACAAAATAGCATTATTCTTTGTATACATACGTACTATGTGGGTGTTTGGCCCCTATTTTTTAGGAAGAATTAGTTTTTGAACAGTGATTGATGGGAAAATATGTAGTGGAAAAGCGATGAAAAGTTTTAGATTTGTGTGTAATTTTATTTTATTTGGAGATTGTGTGATTGAAAATGAGTACAGTAAAAAAATGAATGGAAAAAAAGGAGAAAGAATGACATGGGCTATAACATAGATGTTTATTAAAATTAAAAAGCTTGTGTCTAGTACCGTTATTTTTCTAATGAAATGTTGCAGGCTTTCTCTGACAGTATACAAAGCAACATTCAAATCAAAATTTGTTTCATTTTGTTTCGAAGTCCATTTTGCCCTTAAGAAAAGTCAATTATTCTCTCGTCTGTTTACTTTTTATTTTTCTATTTACTCCAAATTATAAATCACTTTTTTTAGAGTATAATTAATTTTTTAATATGTTCATATTTAATGTACATTATTATTAATAAATATGAATTATTCTTATTTAAACCATAATTTAGGCTCCGTTTGGAAGCCATTCTTTTTTCAAATAATATATTTTTTCTTTCACATCAAGTGGGGTCCATGGCTGGAAAGAGACATAAAAAAAGTGAGATTTGACACAAAGAATGTATTTTTTTGTAGAAAAATGATTACCAAACGGAGGCTTAGTTTAGAGATAAGACATAAATAAAGTGTGATTTGTCACAATAAATGTATTTTTTTGTAGAAAAATGATTATCAATCGGAGGCTTAGTTTAGAGATATATTAGGAAAACGGTAAGTAACATTAATGTTTTCAACCAGATTACTTAGTTTTTTTAATCTGTATGAAAATGGAAACGAACTTATTTTTATGGGACGGAAGGAATATATTTTTGTACATTTATTTGTGAGGGCATTTTGGTCCTTTAAACTAGCTTGTAGATGGTGAAATTAATAACTTGGCTGAAATGTATGTCTATCCTACTCAAATGTCAGGAATTAAAATGAGCAGTAGAACGTGGCTGCATGCATATAGTTTCGATGATCCCAATTTAAACACGGTAATATGGTACAAATGAAGAAACAAAAGCCAAAAGAGTGTCCCAAAATTTTGGGCAGTTAGGTAGAAAATTAGTCAAGCTCTGTGCCTGCAATTGGTCCCCAACTCACACTCGTTTAACACGCAGAATTTATGAACACATTCAATTTGGATAATTTTTCCTACTAAATTATTTTCCATTTAATTATGCAAAAGCTCAACTAATTCCATTAAATCAGGCTTTAATCTGTTAAGCACGATGAATAATCATACAGAAAATCTTGAAAACGACATTGTTTTAATTTTTTTTCAAAAATAGCTATATATCCACATCTCAACTGCAACCTGCAATCCACCACCAAAAATCCATTAAAAGTTTACTTGCTAGCTTACCAACCATACCCACATCTGGCTGGCCCTCAAATTTAGGCTTACTCATGTTAAATTAAAATTTCTATCTATCAGTTTTAGGGCTCTTTTCAACAGAAATGTGCTGAAATTCTTCAATTAATTATTTTGTGGGTTTATTTTAAAAGGTGCTAATTTTGTAGATGAAAACCACAAATTTTATTATTTTGAATTCTATAATGATTTCTTGATGACGTTGTTTTTGTGGGTATATAAGTAGAGTTCTGAGGTGCTGAGAATGCTGTCATTTAAGAAGCAAAAGAGAAGGGAAGAATCTAACAGATATGCAATAAAACAAGTCATATGTTAGAATACCTTCCTTTCTTGTTCGTTATCTTCAATTTATATTATCTTTTTAGAAATTTTAATCATTCTGGGAGTTGATAACTTTCTGGGTTTTGAGTAATATAGAAGAATTGAAAGAAATATGTTGGTAGAAGAGAAAATAGTTTGCAAATTAGGGAAGAAGGATGCCCCTCTCTTTGCTTGGCCATGGGAGAATTTTGGAAATTACAAGGCATGTACTCTATCTACTAGCTTATTCAAGCCCACCACCCCACCCCTTGTAAATTTTCCGTTCCTTCAATCATTTAGTCTGGTTGTGTACTGTTTATTGATTTGTGCATTGTATATGTATCAGTATTTATTATATGGACCACTGATTGCAAAAGGGTTTTATTCTATGGCTTGGGAAGGAAATAAGGAGGATATATGGTGCTTACATATTCTCATCTTGTTTGCCCTGAGAGGTCTTGTTCATCAGCTATGGAGTACTTATAATAATTCACTTTATATAAACCGTACTCGTCGACTGAATCAACAGGGCATCGATTTTAATCAAATTGATGCGGAATGGCATTGGTATAAATAGTTGATTTCTCATATTTCAGTCTATGTTTTCTTATGATTTCTTAATATTTATTATGAGTTTAATTGTTAATTTTTCAACAGGGATAATTTTCTGATACTTCAAGCCATTGTAGCTTCATTTTCCTGTTTGAGCTTCCCTTCATTGTCCAATCTTCCTATATGGGACATTAAGGGTATCGTGTGTTGCCTAATACTCCACGTGGTAATCTCAGAACCTCTGTATTATTGGATGCATAGATTATTACATTCCAAGCATTTATTTCCAAGGTACCACTGGCTCCACCATAGCTCTAAAGTTCTACATCCTTTTACAGGTATGAAGTAAACAGATTCCCACCAACGTTATTTATAACTAGTAAAAGTTAACTATGAATAGACTGTTCACTGACTATTCTCCGTGTGTTTTATTTCCGGTGCAGCTGGGCATGCTACGTTTGTGGAACACCTATTACTATGTGTAATTATTGGAATTCCAACCCTGGGAACTGTTTTCCTCGGTTATGGATCTATCAGCATGATGTACAGTTATGTTTTAGCCTTTGATTTTCTTCGATGTATTGGGCATATCAATGTTGAAGTTATTCCTTATCGCCTGTTTGAAGCTATTCCACTTCTCAAATATCTTATCTACACGCCTACGTAAGTCCTGATCTTGTATATTGATTCTTCATCATGTTCATGTTCATCAATCGTTGATATGATTTGTATTTCCTGGAAGTGTCGTGCATTTTATCCATTTCTCAAATTTTTCTGTTCATTTTTTGGGCGGATGGGATTAGAGGGAACTCTAACTCAGTGAGGCCAATATAAGCTTGCTTAATGCCATTTCATTTTGTGGTTGAGTTTCAACCATCTCATTTGAAAATTAATTGGTGTCAATGAGGGAATGTAAAACTGTTTGTGGCTTTCGATCACCATCATTTGAGTGACCCAATCTATGGGCTTAAGAGCGAAGTTGTTGCACCTCAACAATCATCCTTTCAACATGACGCTCTTATGAAACTCCGATACCACTTGTTAGAATCAAGTTTCAACAATGTTATTTGAAAATCAATTGGTGTCCAGTGAGGGAAGGCTAAATCTTTTATGGCATTCGATCACCATCATTTGAGTTACTCAACCCGTGGAATTAAAAGAGCTGCCATGTTATACCCCAACACAGTTCTCAATTTTTGGACCATACCTTTATGTTTTCCAAATGAAGTTGTTCAGTTAATGTTGCTGGGAAACTATTTTGAGGAACTCTTGGCTGGATGAACTATGAAGTCCGAGCTTTTCTTATTTTTTTTCCCCTTAGATTCTTGAGTTATTTTAGCTCAAATTTTAAATCTGACGAGAAAAAGAAAATTCAAGTACTATGATCCACAAATATTCTAGCATTTTATTGCCATTGGAGAACTTCATTGTTTCTTTGTGGTTTTCCTAATTTCTAAGAGTTATCCTTTACTCAGCCACTGATACAGAAAAAGAAAAACAACACTAAGAAAACACATTTCTTGAAATTGACATGTTTTCGATTACTTAATCATCTTAATTTTGGTCTCATTCTAGCATGTTTTTACCCAATTTATTGCTTATTAATCTTTACCTGTTCGACTCTGCAGATACCACAATCTTCATCACATGGACATGAGGACTAACTTTTGCCTCTTTATACCTTTATACGATATTTTATGGAAGACAATAAATGCCAATTCATGGGATCTTCACAAACAAATTAGTACAAAGACAAGTGAGTTCCTTATTTGAAAATGTAAACACATTATTCACAGTATAAAGACACTTTCTGACTCCCAAGAATTACCAAATCGCAACTGGAGTTTGCAGATCATGTTTATATATTACAATTTACAGTTTCCAATAATGACTTTTTTGGTATAATTATCTTTTAATTGTTTAATTATTATGACATAATGTTGCAGATGATAGAGTACCTGATTTCGTGTTTCTTGCACATGTCGTTGATGTTATGTCAGCAATGCATGCTCCATTTGTTTTCCGTTCATTCAGCTCAATACCTTTTGGTATAAAGCCCTTCTTGTTTCCAATGTGGCCTTATACGGTTTTAGTGATGCTTATCATGTGGGCAAAATCCAAGACATTCTTGTTCAGTTTTTATAATCTCAGAGGAAGACTGCATCAAACATGGGTTGTGCCAAGATTTGGTTTCCAGGTAACTGCTTTGTTTCCATATTCTGTTTTACTTTTGCAGCATGAATGTACACGCCAAACATGCATTTTGAGTTAAAACTAGTTAGCATAGTTCCTATTTTCTGTTATGCCTACAATTTATTATATTAATAAGAAAAAGAATTCTAACTTAAAATCAACATGGTTTTTTTTGGGTCTTGTGACTGGAACCTAAAGCTTGTATCATGTCACATTTTGCAGTATTTCTTACCTTTTGCGGCAGGAGGCATAAATAACCACATTGAAGATGCTATCCTTACCGCAGATAAAATAGGTGTAAAGGTCATTAGCCTTGCTGCACTAAATAAGGTAAACCTTGTTTCTTTTGTCGTATATAGTTTATCATTTCCTTTTGTTTTACATCAATTTATTGCATTACTGTGTGCCTAAACTAGATCATGCTGTCAAATCTGAGTTTTCTAACTTGAGATAGCAATACTATTGATGGAAACCTAAAGCTGTACATTAGGACAATTTGAAATTGAATCAGATATTTTTCAGACTTTATTTGATGTTATAATAGGTTTGTTTAGAATAATTTACTCATGTAAAACTTTATTTCAGAATGAAAGTCTTAATGGAGGTGGAACACTTTTTATTAACAAGCATCCAAATCTAAAAGTCAGAGTTGTTCACGGAAACACCTTGACTGCTGCGGTGATCCTACACGAGATACCTGAAGATGTTGATGAGGTTTTCTTAACAGGAGCTACTTCTAAGCTAGGAAGGGCCATTGCTCTCTATCTTGCACGACGAAGGGTCAAGGTTTTGGTAAGAACCAATAACAAATTAGTTGGTTATCTCGTTTTCTTTGTGGAAAGTGCTTTGATTACAATGTTTCAATTTAGTTGTATGCGTAACCTAAATTTGACAACAGAGGTGTTGTGAATGCAGATGTTGACCCAATCCACCGAGAGATTCATAAAGATCCAGAAAGAAGCACCAGTCGACTGCCAAAATTTTTTAGTTCAAGTTACGAAGTATCAAGCAGCCAAGCACTGTAAGGTAAATATTTCTACTCTATATCCTTCACAATCTTGTTATCTTCGCGTTGATAGGTATCTTAAAACAAAGTAACGGAGGAGAATTAGCATTGCATTTATTCATTTTCAGAATTATTCAGAACATTGAAATCTCGAAAATGCAGACATCCATATTCATGTTTTTTTTATAATTCATAGACGTGGATTATTGGCAAGTGGATGACACCTCGAGAACAGAGTTGGGCTCCTTCAGGAACACACTTTAACCAGTTTGTTGTTCCTCCTATCATTCCATTCAGACGAGACTGTACTTATGGGAAGCTAGCAGCAATGAAACTCCCAGAAGATGTGGACGGCTTAGGATCCTGTGAGGTAAATGTTCATGGCCTTTACCTTTTCCTCCATCTCTTCACAATTTGTTTAATTGGGAGCAATTTGAGGACATTAAAATTAATGATCATTACATGACAACTTTTACATGAACTAAGATATTCGAATTCAGGCATAGACCTAAGTAAAATGAATTGATGGGAACTTGGAAATTAACTTCTTTCCTAGTTTTAGAATTTCTGTGGGAAAAATATATTGAAAATGAATCAATTAGACCTTTAAGTATATAGTAGAGTGAACTTCCAGTTTTTGTATGCTAGAGAACCCAATTTCTGCTGCTTTTCTTCAATCCACCCTTTGTTTCAAGTTTTAAAGCCTCAGAGTTATTAATATGTTGGCAAATTTTTGGGAGGCCCTTATTTCAATGAATAATGCTACTCACACTGAAAATTACCGATAATCGTCCTATGTGGCATATACATGAGAGTTTGTTATTTGATGCATGAGCTAATAAAAAACTATCACATTAATGTATCAAATAACAAACCGCCATGTGTATATCACGTAGGGCGACTACCGATAATTTTCACTATAAATAACGTTACTCTATTTCAATGGTCAAAATGAAAAATAGGCACCTATAAAGTTTTTTGTTTAAAAGGCATTCTTTAGAAATCAAATGTCTAATATACCCTTGTTAAAAATGGTCTTCACCTTCCCCAACCATTTCTTCCTCACCCCTACCCCGTTCCTGGCCATGTTATTCGGGGAGCTCGTAAGGAACATGGGCGAAAGGGGAAGAGGAAAGGGGATATGATGTGGCTTTAGTCAAAATGTGAAAGTCCAGTGTCCAAACTTCTGCCCCTAAGCAATCTGTTCATTGATTTGTCATGTTCTTAGCAACTGATATGCGTATAATGTAACCATTCCATGCTTAATCTGCTAGTATACAATGGAAAGAGGTGTAGTTCATGCTTGCCATGCCGGGGGCGTGGTTCATCTTCTTGAAGGTTGGGAACACAATGAGGTTGGGGCTATCGATGTTGATCAGATTGACGTTGTGTGGAAGGCTGCATTGAAGCATGGCCTCATGCCCTTGTAGATCTAGACGAAAACTTCTCATCCATACTGCTAGAAATCTCATTTATAAGTTCTGCTTATTGAAAAGATCATAAAAGCAGAGCTTTTTTTTTTCCTTTTTGTGTGTGTGTTTATTTTCCTTTGTTGTGTACGCTTTTTTTTTTTTTATAATGATTAAAAACTAGAATGGAATTCAAATGAAATAAGTATTTATACACATTCTTGCTGTTCATTGAATGAATCTCTGTCTCTCTGTCTCTCTCATGCACATTCTTATGAATTGTTGCTTGATCCTAATTTTGATGATAAAGATTTAGTAAGCATAGAATCAAGATGAGTGATGCACTTGAGACAAATTATTGATTAGCGACTTGATTGAGATTTCACTGAACGTTCAATGACCGCATATGAAATTGACCCGTGAACACACATGGAAATTTGATGACTCTCCTTTTAGTTTTTTAACCGGAGGACTAGGGCTTGAAATTTATTTGCATATGGTTTGGTTGAAATTCTGCAATCGAACGAGTTCGATGACACGTAATAGTTAAAGTGAGTAAAGAGTTTTGTTGACACGAGGATTTTGATTCTAACTTAAATTTGACCACTTCGAGCTTAATACGAGTAAACACACAATTGATAGTTGAACTTGAACTTGAATAATTAAGATTTTATCTAAGTATACTACTAGTAACTATCTAAATCCAAATGAAAATTGAGAGAAAAAGATCGATTTAGAAAAATGTGTTAGGAACCCACTTCACCATTAGTGTCCATTATAATTCTCACCTTCTATCTCTTTAACTCAAATTATGCCCAGATGATTAATAATCTTATATTATCTAACAATCTCTCGTGAGTAAAGTTAAACCTATTTCCCCATACGGACGGAAATTTTCCTATCTCAAATTTGAATATGTAAAAGCACATTGAATAGCTAGATTATTCAAATGACTTGCACAAAGCATTGATAAATTTCCCTAAAGTTTATAGCTGATTATCAATTATAAGCGACGCCTACTTTGAACCTTTTGTAAACAAAATAAGACACCAATACGTTTAAATGTTGATCATTCATTCACATGTTAATTAAAGTATTGTCATGAATCAATCAAACACAAAATGAGAATTAAAAGAAGTCTTTGAACACCGTCAACCATTTACATCATCATCAAGCTAATAATACAAAAACACAAATTAAATTGAATATTCATCACCTGGAATATCAAATTGCAAAGAGAAGGTGGAAGATGAATTCTTTTCACATTTGAATTCCTTCAATGGAGTTTCCAAGAAATTGTTTCTTTTTTCATGTTGGACTCTTCATGTAATGCAATTGGTACATGATTTTAACCTACTTCGAGAAGACAATTTCATGATTCTTCATTTTGAAACGTGGGGGGAGAGAGAGAGAGAGAGAGAGAGAGAGAATACATCATACTTTCAGAAGATTTGCTGCTCGGTAATACCATGTGATCGCATGTGTAAGAATTGCGATCCCATGGTATTGTTTGTGCACATGCTTGGATTGAAAATATCTTCTTTGCGATCGCCAAGTGTAGCCAGGCAATCGAGACGTCCTTTTTGTCTGTGTTCATTTTGGTCCCCGGATTATCTTATCCAAACAACTCAGGTCCCTTCCTGATCGCATCGGATGTCTTTCACTTTGGTCACAATCTTCCTTAATTTACTCAATTAAAGAGTCCTTTTCATCTACTTTTTATTCATATTCTCCATATAACATCCAACATGAGTTTCTTCTAAAATAATCAAGGGTAATGCTATATGTACACACACACTTTTACACAATCTTTTACACCTCTCTCACATGGAGGGGGGGTCCACGATTATTTTATTATGTGTGGGCCCCCTTCCATGTGAGAGATGTGTAAAAAATTGTGTACACATAGCATTATTCAATAAAGGGGTAATGCTACATGTACACACATACTTTTACACAATCTTTTACACCTCTCTCACATGGAGGGGGGTCCACGATTATTTTATTATGTGTGGGCCCCCTTCCATGTGAGAGAGGTGTAAAAAATTGTGTAAAAAATTGTGTACACATAGCATTATTCAATAATCAATATAATAAAAGTGCTACCAAACGTCCACATTTGTTGATTAAATAAATGTAAAACTAAACTTATTAAATACCCTAAAACTTGAACATTTGTTTTTCCTCGAACAAATTATCTACCTAATCAAAAAAAAAAAATGTTAGATACTGCTTGAATAACTTATAAAAGATTTAGAGAGTACGATACCAAAACCAATTTTTTACTTATCAAGTACTTCTAAGTTTATTATATCTCAATCGTCAATGATCAATTATTTCCTGTCTCACTCGTAAGATATACAACTCCAAACTTGTTCTTCAATCTCTTACTAAAGATGATTATTTTAAAGTTGAATTCACAAGACTTAATTTTCAGCTCAAGTTCAATTGGGTTTTACCAATGGAAGATCAGTACCTTAATATGTGGTGATTCTTTCTGGATTTGAATGTCTTAACCTCTAAGTCTCAACTAGGCTAATAACCCCTCACTAGAAATCTAATTTCTCAAATTAAGTGTTCAATGCTTAATCAGGCTTGTATTGGTCCTTCGTTTCATATATTTGCCGTGTGCATTCGGTTTCATGCACTATCTTGGATCATTTTCGAATTTTTTTATTTTTGGGATTTTCAATAGGTGTCTCATTTGGTTCTTTTATAGAGAAGTTTAAGCTCATGAAAACATGATAGCTTTTTCCCTTTTTGCCATGATTGGTGCTATGCCTTTTTATTTAGAATGATCCAATCGCTCCGGCCACAAATTCAATTGCGTAATAACGGTGATAGGAATTGACGAATCTCGCCGTCATCATTGCATGGATGAGTGCGGAGGATAAACAGGTAGCTTTCCCATTTCCTTTATCCTTTGCCGAGGGTTCCTTGCATTTAGGAACCATTGTACCTACAAATAATATGGACATGTGAACGTTAGAGATACGCATGTGTAATCGACAATTGATCACATCCGTCCTCAGGTGGAAGTTTACTTGACCAAACGCCGGATATACTATACTGGATTGGCTTTCCACAACCGGTGGAACCATGTACTCTCCCATCAACCTTGCGTTTTCGTTGGCTGAAACTTTCTGTGGTTGCTCTACTCTCAGATTAGCCCCGATGGCTATTTGATTCAGATTCTTTTCTACTATATCTTTCTCTTTATATATTTGGTATGTTTCCAACTGTTGTCTTTTTTGAATGTTGAATGTCCGTTCGATCTCAGGGTCAAATTGAGCAAGATCACCTGTTCTCGAATTTCACATACACGTTCTCGAAAAAGTAAGCAGAAACACAATATTTTTTTTAAATAAACTAAACTAAACTAAACTAAAGAAAAAACAGTAAAATTCAAATTAAAGCTAAAATTAAATAAACGTATCAAAAACAGTAGTCTTCGACAACGGCGCCAAAAACCTAATCGTTTGATTTTCAGCAAGTGAACGAGGTTGTGATCAAGTAATATAGTAGTGTGTAAAGTGTCGAACTCACGAGGACTACGTATTTGATCGAGTTAAAGTTAATAATACCATTAATCGAATAGTAATAATATTTTATAATAAATTTATATCTAATTTATCGCGTACAAGAAATTAAAGTAAGAGTTTATCAAATTTATGAGATGTATTGCTAAGATCTAGAATCCTCCTTGTTTATCCATTTTTAGTTTAACAATTAAATTGACAATTTATTATCATGCGAGTTGGTTGAATCTTCAAATTTATTTAAAAGCCTCTCTCGATAGCAATTAAATATATTCCCCTCATGCAACCTTCCTATCTCTCGATGAAAAATACGAACATGATAAATACATTAACGAACTACAACATCATTATGAACTATGCAAAGTATAAATGTATATCTCTATCCTCTATCGAACCTCATAATATTTATTACTATGTGCTAACGATTCTATTACCTCTCTCGATGATAATAAAATCCACAAACAATTCAAGTAGTGACCAATTAATTGAAAAGCAAACTAAATCATAATAAATATCCACGCATTCTAACAAATTAACGTCAATAATTAATTAGGCCCTGTTTGGGAGAAATTTTAATCAAGATTTTAATCAAAATTCTAATCGTTAACTATCAAATCAACCACCATTTTTGACTTTCACTCTCACAAATGGGGCCCACAGGTTGACTATAACGGCTATAATTTTGATTAAAATCCCACAAAAATTGCTCCCAAACACGCTCTTAATACTAAAAGTTTCAAAACAAGGGTTCAATGTAAAAATCTAGCCTAACATATTGAAATTACAAGAAATCATATATAAGTTAAAAGACATAACCCGGATTATTGATAAATTGAGANCCTTCTCTTATTTGCCCAAAAATTAGGTTTGAATTTTCACTTGAACGAATTCTTGCAAATCTCCTTCAATTTTCTCATAAAAACTATGAATTCTCCTCATTTGATGATAATAATTGATGAATAATGGAGTACAATATGTACATGAGAGTTGCTCAATATGTATTATGCTATTATGTATTTGTAACAATCAAAAATTGGTGAAAAATCACGTCCAAATTGACTTCCAAAGAGTTCTAATCGGATAAGGAAAGTTGTATTCGCGCACAAATTTTGTCTTTGCACAGTAGTTATTATTTTAGCCATAACTTTCTCGTCTGATATTCGATTGAAGCGATTCAAAGTGGGTTGGATAGATAACTTAAAAGGATACAACTTTAATAGAAATAGAATTTTTCCAATTCGAACGTTTACTATGCTAAAAATGGGTATCAATTGTTCGACTAAAAATTTGGAATTTAACTTGTGCGATTGGACATTGATTGTGATAATATTCTATTCCTTTTTGAATTCTAATTCCACCCAATTGTCTTCAAAAAATCTTTAAAGTATCATCTTATGGTCCAAATCAACTATTGAATTTTCAATATGATTCTCAAACTTTGAATTTTGTCATTTTCACTATTTTTCGCTTCTTTCTTTCTTT